GCTTGTTTGGGGCCCATTAAATCCACTACATCAGTGTCACTCCTCATACTTAAAAGTGATCTGAAGACTAGCAAATGGCAGGGTTTAATGTCTGAGGGCAACTGGCTGCTGTTTAGTATCCCTCTAAGGCTTTCTGTACCTGGAGTTTACAATGATGCAGCCTTGAGGTTGGACCCTGTCAGGAGAACATGAAGCGATCCAACAGTGCGTTAGATGAACTGAAATCATTTTCTGTGAGTCATACAGCCCCCAGCAATACGCTACTTCCACTGCCCCTCTGAGGAAACATGGGGAGCATGTTCAGAATAAAGCAGGGTTTCTGACAGAAGGCCACAGTCAGAACAACTTCTTACACCTTCAGCTAACTAGTATTGTATCTGTAGCCAAAATTGTATGACTTTGCTGTGTAGACAGCTACTGGATGTCCTTTATGAGACAATCAATTATAAGCCCCTTCGTAATACATGTCTTAAAATCGTCAACTTTATTAGCCACCACAGAAAGAGTCAAATGTTACTGATACTACAGACCCAGTTTACAGGTAATGGTCTCAGTTTTGAGCTAAATGCTAACAGCAGCATGCAAACAATAACCATATTAACATGCTGATGTAATGTTTAGTATAATTTTGCATGCTCACGAGTTAGTTAAGTGTGTAAGCATGCTAACAATTACTGGTTAGCACTAAACAGAAAGTACATTTGAGGCTGATGGGAATGTTGAGTTTTTCAGGTATTTTGGTCAAAGTATTGCACAAATTAGAACTATGATGTTTGATGCACCTGCGACAGAAGTGTTTTCTGTTGCACCTGTTACCACACCCAACAGTGACATCACAGTGTACTGACACACCCTGTAGAAGTACACTGCTACATCACGTAGCTGCTTAAGTTGCTCTTAAGGATATATTTTGAGTTACAGTAACTGTATTCTGACAATGTATTATAATACATGATAACATTCATAAAAGATGCTAGAATGAACATTAGTTGAATTAAAAACAACACTTATTTCTCACACTGAATTTCCAATATTTAAGTGAAAACATTTTTGTGAAAACACCATCACTCATGTAGCAGAAGACCAGTTCATTTGAGGAGTACTACATTTGGTCAGGAGCATTCACATCAATACATTGCTTGACTGCTGTGACAATCATTAGCAGTAAAATTGAATTGTCCCTCTCTAGTCCTTGTCCATCTAGAAAGTCCATTCCCAGAAGTCAACTTGCGCCCCTCCTTTTGAGTGTATCTGGGAGTTTGAGTCATTAGGTAGCTGGGCTACGGCCTTTCACAAGACTCTCACTGTCCTAGAGGCCACAGACTGGGGATAACTCAATTTGCCTCCTCTCACCAACTCTCTCTGACTCTTGTCTGTTTCTCTGCTGAGCAAATGCAGTAAAATGAAGTCAACCTCTATCAAATCTATTGTCTGTACTGTTTTGGTGGTTGGAGGAACTTTTCCAGTCTTTTATTTTTCATCTTTGTAGGAAAGATATTTCTAATGTTATTTATTTTCTGGCTTTATTGCTGGAACATCACTGAATGATGTCTGATTGGATTTGATTTTAAAAGGTTACAAGCCTGAAAATATGAAAGAAGGGTCTGCACACTGTAGCTCCCTTACAGCCAATTTATTAGCATATCCCCATGTGTTTCAAGTTAATGCTCTCAAGTCTTATTTAAAGGGTTGCATGAGATTTTAAATATGAGACTGAAAAGTTGAATGAATCTCACAACCCGCACAAGTGCATCCCAACAGGGGAAGCTACAACCAACCAAACCAAATTATATACACTTTTCATAAGAAACAAGCAAATTAAATATCTTCATTCATTTCACTGGAAATGAGCGTATCAGGAAGTCTATCCAACACATCTCCCTTTGGAAAGGGATTCTGCCCCTATTGCCACCTCTCTGTGGCATCTTAACTGCCTCTGTGCCCATGTAATGTACTTCACTCAAGCTGTGGTTATGACTATTTAAGTTCTTAGCCACTGTTGATTTAACATCATGATTACGAATAAAACACTGTTCACAGATCTTGGTTTTTAACTTGGTTTAAATTTCCATTCGTAATATAAATGACATCTGCATTTTAACAGATAAATCACATTTTTAGTGTTACATGTGACCGTGATGTCAACACCAGACTTTGGTGAATATAATCCCCTTAATCATAGAATAGCAGTGTATACAATTATGACAAGGAAATACCCACTGGGGATCTGAACCAAAACTTGTTGTGCCAGTTGTGATAACCTATTATTAATCCCACCTATGTATATTGATTGTCAAATTGCCAAAATACACACCGAGGAAGGACGTCTTTCCCAAAAAATCTGTGTGGCAATATTAAAAAGTTAAATTGGAATGCTTTCATAGTCTTATTTTCTTCCTTTGGCACTATTTATATTTCATTTCCACTTTAGTAGTTTAGTAGTTTTAGTTTAGTTTTATTTTTTTATTTTTTTAGTTTTAGTCAAGTTTAATTTTCTGTTTATATTTTGCACTCCATGTCCTACTTGAACAATGCATAGTGTATATACTTTAATTTATAGTTTTATATCTTCTAATATTAATAATATTAGTAATTTTCTATCGTGGTATTCTTTGTTTTCTGTTTGTGCACTACTTTGACCTATTGCTGCTGTGTCAACCTGA